CATGCTCAATAGAAGCCCAGCTAAAGTGCAGACTTGTGAGCAAATATGATTGTTGTTTAAATTAAGCCAGTAAGTGTTGGGAGAGTGTACATTGCGATAGATAAAGCATAAAACATTGTTGAATCTTATGGTGCTCCTACTTAAAGTTTCTAAATGAAATTTTCCCACAATTCTATTTGGCATAGCATCTTCTGTTCTAAATTCTTCAGGGTTGCCATGTGTGACTGTGTAGGTTGTATGCTGCTCAAAGGCACCCTGCCAAGGAGGCCAGCAGAGACTGTTTATCTGGCCTTTTCCTGGAGAGGGCATTGTTATAAATTGAATGAAGATGTCTGATGGGCTCCCAGAGCTCTGATAAAGGGTACTTTATGGAATCAAGTCCAAAGCTGTTGAGCGGGCCTTGAAGACCCCCCTTTGACGGCCTGCTGCCTCCTGTGCCCGCCCCTCTGACTTTCTCCGACCCCATCAGTCACTGCTTAGCTGAGTTTCCTGCCTCCCGCTGTAGGATGGCAGCAGTGCATACAATTCTCCCCATGGGGCCAGGCCTCCTAAAGGAGGCTGTAAGTCCCCTACCAACCTTCTGTATACTCGGGCACTAGGGCAGTTTTAGTCTTGTAAACCTCAGAGGATCTAATGTTTGCTTACAGACACAGTTTTGAGGAGCCCCAGAGCACAGAGAAGCCACCTGTTCTTCGTGCTTTTGGTGTCCATACGTGGACGGCCAAGCCCCAGGAGATTTGCAGCTGCTCTGCACCCCTGTTGGTCCTTGGCCAAGGATCCAAAACACAGGGCATCGGTGTCTGAGTGGGGAAGCTTATTTCCAAGGAAATTCTCTTCCTCACAATTCACAGCATCAGCAGAACGCTACATGTTCCAATACGCTGCCCAAACGGACCACTGTGACATGGGATACACAGTGCTGAACTTTGTAATCTTATCCTCCATTCAATATTCAGCACGTGTATTTGATCTCTTCCTTTTCTCCCTTTCCCCTTCTTCTTCTGAGCTCCTATTTCCCTCCTCTCCCCACCTCCCTGCCCCACGCTTACCTGCCTTCTGGCAAATGCTGACTCAGAGTCACCTGTCAGGGACACAGCCAAGGGGATTTCCAGATGTGCAGTTAAAGAAGAAGGTTCTGATGGTCGCCTGTGACTCAGCACTCTTTAGGGAGTACAGTTGTAGGCATGTGGGATTAAAGGAGCTACGACTTTGAAATGTGTGTCCCAGGGTTATACCACACGACAGACACATCCAGCTGCAGGGAGGGAGTGATGAAGGGCTGAGATGCCTGGGCATGTCCCCTGTAAGCAGGTGGGCTGTTCATGACAGGGGACCCAGGTAACACCTCAGGGAAATTTGGCATTGTTCATGACAGCAGGCTGAATAAGCGATTTCTAAGCAGATTATCACCTGTACTAAGGCTGACCATTTGAGCCTGTGATCTTCACAAGTATTGAAGGATGAGAGGCCTCTTGAATCATGACTGGATCTGAAATATTTGCCTGTGGTTAATAGTTTGTCAACTGTATGCTAGGAGCTGCAAAGCAGAAGTAGTAGTAATATCTTTACATTATTAAAAAGTCAGAATTGCTGCTTTTGACTGAGCAAATATGCCAGGTTAAGCATTCCCTCCACATTATATCATTTAAAAAAATTTTATTTTGTATATTTAATCTGTACATGATGTCTTGATATATATATAATGAAATGGTTATTATATTCAAGCAAATTAACTTGTCCGTCATTTCACTTAGTTCCCCTTTTTTTTGGCAAGAGCACTTTAAAACCTACTCTTTTGACAAAAATCCCAAGTATAATACAGTTATATTACTAACTACAGTTCTCGTGTTGCCCATTAGACCTCCAGACACATTCATCCTGCATATCTGCACGTCGCAGCATCATTCACAGCAGCCAGGACAGGGAAGTGGTCGTGTGTCTAGATGAAGAGACTGTTACGTGTGGATTGCGGAAGTTTACTTAGCTTTTATGAAAGGAGATTCTGCCACTTGGCGTAACACAGATGAACCAAGAGGACATTCTGCAAGTAAACTAGACACAGAAAGAAAAATATTGCTCGATTCCATTTATGTGGAATTTAGCAAAGAGTCAAATCTACAGAAATAGAGAATAAAATGGTGGTTATCAGGGTCAGGTGGGGATGAAGTGAGGTGACGGGAGAGGTATCATCTCATCTGATCATCACAGCAAACCTTTCTGATAATTGGTGTCTACTCTTGCACTTGAGGGACCCAAAGCACAGAGCCATTAGGTAGCTGAGCTGCGATGCACACCTGATCTGAGTGAGGCCCGCACTACCCTGTCCTACATCCTGGCAAGACGAGGCTCACCTAGGAGCAGACAGAAGGTCACTCACCTTCTATAACCACTGCCCACAGCTGCTGGTGGGCTTGGCTCGGAGCAAATCCCATAGACTGTGCTGCAGCTGTCCTGAGATTCTGCCCTTAAGTTTGAGAAATTCTGGAAGAAAGCAAGTTCTGTTACATGCCTCAGTTTGTGCAGATTCTCTAGCCAAGCCTCAAGGCTCTGATGCCGCTGTGATGAGCAAGTCTGCTCTGTGCCCGGTGAGGAGCACACGGAGGCCGCAGGGCTGGGAGGGGGTTGTCTCTGTCCCTGACCAGGAGGTTTTCCAGTGTTCTCCATGATGCATGGAAACAATCAGGCTGGGGTTCCTGATTGGGATTTGGTGGGCATTTATAATGTCCTCAAAATACACTTTGTAAAAACACAAGGTGATTCATACCCATTTCTTAGAGCTGAGGCCAAGAGAAAATCTAAAGAAATGTGATAGAGGCAGCCACCATTCTGGATGGCTTTCCTGCATCCAACAGAAAAGACAAGTATTTCTTTAGGGAGAAAGCATTTTTTCCCATTGACTTCCTTAGTAGGAGCTCCAGGAGAGGCTGGCATGGGGACAGGACAGGCACAGGAGGTAACAATAGCCAGTTAGTTGGACTGTGGCTGTTGCTACATGTCCTGTCCAGTAGTCTTCATGAAATGCTCTGCAAATTGAGGTCAGTATAATTCTCTCTCTATTTTCTTTAAAAGGTTGGTCCTTGAGAAGAATCTAGTGGGGTGGTAGAGTGGAGAGAAGGAGAATATATAGGGAGATGGTTTTATCCACTTTATGATCAAGGTTAGTTTACTTGTGCATATAAAGGTAGATATCATTTTTATCTGTTTAAACTTTTCCTAAATTCATTTAAAATAAGTATAATTGTAAAGCCACTGGCACAAGCTACTGATAAAGGCTGTTTTGTCACGTGCCTGGGGTCCCCTGAGGAGAGATTCAGGCAGCCGTGTTCAGCCTGGGAGCTCCCACATTGTGTCTGAGCTGAGCCAGAGAACGGGCTGCCTTTCTAGTGGGAGCTTCCCCCACTCCCAGAGACCTGGGAACCTGTGACTTCATGAGTCCACAGTGACCCGGAGGGTGTGGGGCTAACACAGCCACTGGAAGCTGGAGAGTTAGGGCTGAGGTCTGGCTCTGAACTCACCTAAGGCGGACTTAGACCAGTCATGCCACATCTCCAGGGGACCCCTCTGTGTCTAAGTGATCCAATAAGTGAATTGACAAGCACTGGGGATAATAATGGAGATGATGCTTCTCTACCAAGGAAGCTACACAGATTAAATAAACATATCATCTGTGAGACTGCTTCACTAACTCTAAAGCATTCTGCAACTGTAAGGCTTAAATGCTTCTCCATAGGCTGGGGTATGCCAGCCCAGTTCCCAGGACAATGTCCTAGGCAGCGGGCACCCTCACTACAAATACATTCATAATGTTATTTTATATCTACACGGAGCAAAGCCTGGTTATTGTTCTACAGCAGGAAAGGAACATTTTTAAATGTTTTTCTTCGTGTCACAGATTTTTTCTGAATATCTAATAAAAGCACAAATGCTTTCTTTTTCCAAAAAAAGAAACAGCAAAAATAAACTAAGCTAATAAATCTATCCCATAGCATTTCACATACACTTTGTGGGGAGCCGTGGTCTCTGACACCCAGGCAGCTGAAGGAAACACCTGGCCTGGAGACTGCAGGTCGGCTCTAGTGAGGTCCAGGAGAGAAACAGGCAATGCTATGTTTAGCTTCTGCCTGAGGAAAGTCCTGGAGGAACATCCCTGGGATTCTAATGTACTCCTAAAAGGCTCTTGAAAAAGTATTCTTTGCCTGATTTTAACCACTTTGAGTTCAAATGTGCTCAATCTAAAAGACCCATGAATGTGGCCACCCTTTATCTTGCTGGTGCTTTTTGTGCAAAAAGATTTGGTCCAGATACCTGAGTCCTCCTGTCTCCACAATGGGTGGCTATCCGGTGACGCTGCAGGGTCCTCTTACTGCGGGGCTAGGCTGCTTCTGGACACTCAGATGCCTGCGCGGAGCCGGCTTATCGGAGCATCTGTCAGCTTGTGCCAGCACCCTGTCTGCGTCCACCCTGCCCCATCTCAGGGGACTGGATTTTACCCTGAGTGACACACATTTTTACTAAGTAGAATTTCATTTTGGACCCAGAGAATTCAGGAGTGGGGCCAGTTCAACCCAGGTGGAAATGTAAAAAAGATCCACACCAAGATCAAGTCAAACTGGGTGAGAACGTCCAGGGATGGAGGACGAAAAGGAAAGAAAATAAGTGAGAGGCGGGACACTCTCACACCTTCTCCACCGCTGGCCTCCCAGGGCCCACGGAGCACGGAAGCTGTTTGCAGCAGATGGTTCTTAAAACCAGCCAGGGCACTTGCTGGTGAGCTCTCGGCGCTCCCTTCTGTCTTCCGTTGACAGGGCACCTTGGCTCCCGGATGCAAATAGCCCCCCATGAGAGATGCGCAGTTGACCCGCCTGCTGGGGTCCCTGAGATCAGAGGCCTCCCTGAAGGCAGATGGTGTGAGGCCTGGATGTCGGCTCCTTTCCTTCCAGCTAGATCAGGTGGCGGCGGCGCAGGCAGCTGGAAGGCACCCACGGGGAGAAATCGAGACCATGTTCAGAAAGATCCACTCCGTCTTCCACTCCGGCCCACAGCGGAAGGCGGCGGCCGAGAGCCCCTTCTACGACGGAGCTAGCCCCGCGGTGCGGCTGATTCGAAGTAGCTCCATGTACGTGGTTGGGGACCACGGGGAGAAATTCAGCGAGTCCCTCAAGAAACACCAGGGCGCCGGCAGCATGGACGGCAGCCTGCCCCCGCTGCGGCGCGACGAGGACCGCGCGTGGGTGTGCGCGCGCGCCCAGGACTGCCTGCTGTACCTGCAGGAGCTGCTGGCCCTGCGCCGCAAGTACCTCAGCGGCCTGGGGGAGCTGCGGCCCCCGCGCACCCCGGCCTCCAAGTCCTCCAAGTGGGGAGGGAAGGCCGCGGGCCAGCCCACGCCCAAAGAAGGAAAGGTAAGAGCTGCGGAGCGCGGGAGGATGGACCAGCGCTCTCCACGGGGGTGGGAGCTTGCTGGCGCCCATCCCTGCTGGATGAGCATGTCCTTGGGACCTTCCCGGGTCTCCTGGCCAGAAAGGGTGTGGGTTTTGAATGCTGCAGAAATGAAAAGGAGCAGCGAGGGCGTCTGTCTGCAGAGCTGCCTGCTGGGGAGACATGGGCCTCAGTGGCGGCAGCCGAGTTTGCATGGGGCGGCTCCCTCTCCCGGACTTCATACACCATACGATGCTTGTATGCATTTGGATGACAGCAAATGATTTCTCAGAATATGTATTACTTTAAAAAAAAGTTATCATATCTAAAATTCCTAGTAAAAAGTGAAATCATATGAACTAGATACTTCCAAATTTCTAGGCACTGAGCCCCATGCTAGCCAAAAAATTGGAGGGTTTCCTGCAGCTGAACCCCGGATCCGGGCCTGCTGAGGCTCAGGGGTGGCCACAGGGTGAGTCTGTGCCTCTTAGAAGGGGACTGATGGCTTTGAAGGCTTGAGGCCTCCAGACGGACACAAGCATGGAGTTCATGAGAGAAGGAACTCGTATTGATCTCATTGTCTGAACTTGCTAGGGTGTTGTGTATGTACCGCTGGTGGTGGAGGGCCACTTTGGAATGCTGACCCAGCTCTAGGAGTGAGGGCGCCGGATTCCAGTACCGAGTCTCTGTTACTTACGCTCACTCACTTGTGTTTCATACACCTGTGGGTTGAGACTGTTCTGCGGTGTGTTCTTCCCGGCACTTTCCTGATGCTGGCCTAGCAGGTGTTCAGACCCACTGGTCTCCCACTTCCCTCTGTCTCCCAGGCCATGCAAACTTCATTAATGTTGAATGACTGGTTGGCCTGCTAGCAGATCTCTAGGGCTTGGCCTAGAGTTTCAGCTGTCTGAGTGTTATGCGGGGTGGGAGCTGTTTAATCAGACTCTAAATGGATGTCAATGTTGGACCCATACAAAGGGGCCTAGTCTTGGGTGCCAGTGCTGATCTGGGATCCAGCTAGCCATGGGCTTGTGACCAGTCCTCCCCTCCTTCTGGGCCATCTGTGATAATGGAGGGGTTTGCAGTGATTTTGGAACTCCTTTCCAGCTTGAATATTTTGGGGTTCTAGGTTCTGGGCAGATTTCCTCTAAGCACTGTTTCCTTCTAAATGGAGCCCTCACTTGTTGGACCTGGCGAGCTCCCTCCTTGCTGAGCTGACTGAGGGTAAAGGGGACCCCATCAGAGGGCTGTGAGGAGGGACACAGGCCGGTATAGATTTCCTCAAGAGATACTTCTCCCCACTGTGCAACCAGGGGAGAGTTTTAAAAGGAATTGAGTCAATCAGACCAAGGTTTGAATTTTAGCCCTGCTGTCTACCAGCCAAGTGCCTTTGTCAGGTCAGGTGGGCCTCTTTCTCTTTTTCTATGGCACAGAAATGGAAATAATGGTATCCACTGAGAAGTGAGTAAGGTCCTACACGTGATCACACCTGGTACACCCCAATGTTCACCGACTCTGAAATGCCGTGTGCAGCGCTCTTAGCCGTCTTTAGACAAGGTTCTCTCCTTCCACACAGCTCCTTCAAAAAGAGCTGTGGCCTGGGCTTCCCTGTGAAATGACGGGTTCAGGGTCTATGGCAAGCAGGGTGGCCCTTGGCTGCCTGGTGCTCTGTGTACTGCAGGGACAGGGACCAGCAAGTTCCTTCCACCTGGGATGCCATCCCCCTCCTGCTTTGGGAGAAAAGCCTGCAATGTTCAAGGTTTAGCACAACACCTTTCTTTTCCCTGATTCCCCCCGCCTCCCATTATGGATTTAACTGTGCATTTTAAAATCAAAACAACAAAAATCTGTATCTGAAGATTTTTGTGTCAGTGTTGGACATGAGCTATGCTTTGAGACTTACTATTCAGATGCTTGAATGTTAGAACTTCCAACTCAGGACACAATACATGTGGCAGAAGGACCCATGTGAAATAGGTCCCATCCTGCAATGTAGAGTCTCCGTAACAACTGGGCAAGCCCCCTCTGCCCTGGGCATTGTGGGTGTCCCTGCAGCACTCCTGTGCCACAGCCCAGGCATCACCAGGAGCCACCAGCAGTTACCGCTGACTTCTAATAGTCCTCCAGACCTGATCTGTTGGCTCTTAGCCCCATTCTCAGCCCAGGGAAGAATTTAGGTGCCAGAGGTATGGACCAACTGTACAGCCTTTGTCAAAATTCTCTTAAGATGTGGTTTACCCAGGAGGGAAAAATATCTGTGAAAATAAGAAGTTTTCTTGTTGTGTCTCATGCTATTCCCACCTCACACCCACCCTTGCCCCCTATCCTAGCTGGTCCCCATGCAGTTTGTTCTAGGGCATGTCTGAACACAGTGGCCTCCCCTCCCCTTCTGATTCCTTGTTCATTTTTTTCAAGCTGTAGTTTTGTCTCCTGCTGTGATGGGCTCTGGATTCTTCTATTTCTTTCTTTTCTCTCCTTCTTATAAACATCACTTCTCTCACCTTGGCTTTTTAAAAAAATAATAATAACTTTAATTTTATACATAAAACTCACCTTTTTAAAGTGTACAAGGAGTGTTTTTAGTCTATTCAGAGCTGTATCATCCTCACCACTATCTAATTCTGGAACATTTTCATCACACATTTTAGCTTTTTTTTTTTTTTGATGTAGTAAAATAAACAACATAACATTTACCGTGGTCAATACGACATTTTGTAATTCCTTAAGTGAGTGCTTTTTAGGGTCCCCAAATTATGAATAATGAAATCTATTAAAGTTAATAAATTCTTAAGAAATTAAGTGCTTTTCTTTGAATGATTTTTGTATCAATTTTTTAAAGTAAAAATGCATACTTGCATACTGCTGTATATCTTTCAAATTGATGATAGCTGGACAATAACCAGAGTCCTTCACACTCGACTTCATTAACTTTTCCAAATTATCATTTATGTAAACCCATAATAATTAATCTAAAAGAGTATAAAACCCTAATTAACATATTTTTAGAAAATCTTTTGAAACTCATTACTAGTAACGTACTAGAAAATGAATTCCTTAAAGGTCATGGGCACTAAAAATAGTAATCAGAAGAAGGTTTTTATAAAAAGTTTGACAGTTATTTCTTTAAAAGTAAAGCATGCTTTTAAAGTAAAATACTTTAAAATTCCAAAAATTACCATTTTCACTATTTTTAAGTATATAATTCAGTGGCATTGAGTACATTCACAAAGTCGTGTGATCATCACTACCAGCCATCTCCAATAACAGCCAGCAATGGTATACCCATTAAAAATTGATTCCTCACTTCTCCCTCTCCCCAGTCTGTGATAACCTCTCTTTGGCTTTCTATCTCTGTGAATCTTCCCATTCTAGGTACCTCAGATAAATGGAATCATGCAAGCAGCATCTGTGCTTCTGTATCAGTCTCATTTCACGTAGCAAGTTCTCAAAGTTCAGCCATATTCTGTGTCAGAACTTCCTTCCGTTGTATGGCTGATAAGCTTGGGCTTTGACGGGAAGTGAAGAAGAAAAGTTTGAGGCTGTTCTCTGACTCTGATCAGAGAATGTGTTGGCATTTGGGGTCCTCCCTGAGTACAGCTTCTGGCAGTCTTCGGTCCAGATAAACAAACAGATAAGCAGCCAGCATCTCACTATGAGAACTGGACCACATGAGTGGACCCTGGCCTGGCCACACCACAGAGAAGAGACTCAGAGGGTCTGGCCACAGACCCAGGGATGGCTGATGGGTTTGGCTACAACATCTCCTATGGGCTCCACACAGTCCGGATGGTTTGGGTTGGACATTTTCTCAGACTGGGGTTGTTGGTCACCCACCACAGCCAGAAGAAACTTCAGTTCTCCTAGGGATCTTTTATCTCTGAGCAGCTTGGATTTCTGATACGTCTGCCTGGAAGAAATAGCTGCAAGATGTGTACTATTTTCCTGCCACCTCGAGTAAAGAAATTCACCTAAATGATTTTAAAAGAGTCAATTGGATTCTGGTGAATGGCTGCCAAAAGTAATGATTTTTACTAAAAATAGTTTTATTCTGATAATAATTAGTTTTAAGAATCAATTTTCTATCAAGGCCACTGAGACTTGGTTCATAATATTAGACTGTGTTAACAGTGAATTGAAGGCTCTTTCTCCTCTATGGCAGAAGGATCTGAATTCAGTTCATCCAAAAGGGCTCCAAGTCATCCATGCATAAATTGCATATGAGCTGGGAGGCAGATTCTGGGTATTTTTTTTTAATCTGTTTGGGAGACTTTTGACAAACACAGTGATATTGAAATGCAGGTTTTTAATAAGCATCAGGTAGTGGGAGGATGGGGGATCAGTCTCAATCACTTGGTCCAGATCTGGCTTACAAAGCTGAAAAGCAGGAAAAATTCAATATAAACTGCAAAAACATATTCCCTTATGCTTGGTAGTGGTCTCCACAGATGGCAGGCAGTATAATCATGATTGATATCAGCACACATGATTCCTGTGGCCTCTCTCAGCCAAGCCACAAGATGTGTAATCATCTTCCCTCATCTGTCCTCTAAGCACAAAACAGTGCTCTGTCTCCCCCCTTTTTCTTCTTCCCTACACCCCATTCACCTGGATAACTTCTTATCTTTCCAGACGGCAGAGAAAGCCCTTCTCTGGATGTCTTTTCTCTCGTCCATCTGTGATCCCTCCGGCGAGTTCCCTCTCCCGGGTCTAGGCTGTGTGTTGCATCCTGGCACCCAGCACACCCACTGTGGTTTCTGTTCATGCCCTGTGCCTGCCGCGGACAGTGAGCTCACTGAGCTGGGGCGTCGAGTCTCATTTATCTACTTCACTTCAGCACTGAGCACAGTTTGGGGCATGTAGTAGATACTCAAAAAACTAACAGCCTGAGAAAGCCCATGTGTAATTTAGGAAGGAAATTGTCACAAGCTTTAATGGAAGATTTAGACAAGTCATAGATCTGTTGCTTTCTCTTTTGATGGAGTAG